ACTGAAACAAAATCATGGAGGAAATTTCTGGAGTGTCCAGTGTAGTTCTTGATGTATTTTATTTGACACTAACTGCCAATGTTAAAGTGACACAAACATCTAGGAGACCTGAAGTATTTACATTGTTTTGATAAATCTTAGAAATACACAATAACAAGATTGGATTCAGACAACCTGTGCATTTGCACACACAGAAACTAACTCTTCCTTACTACCTCATTAGTCAGAATACTGGCACTAAACAGATGGCTCACTCAGAGGGCTTAATTGAAGGGAGTTTAATAAAAGAGACTGTTTGCAAAAGAACAATCAGTTGTAAGGAAACCAGCAAGGGAGTTTGAAGTGTCAGGAACTAGCAACAGTGGGAAACCATTACTTGCCCAGGCCCAAATAGGCAGGGGAGAGGGCAGCGGCTGTGGGAGAGAAACTACCTACCACACAGGAACCCCATATTCAGAGGCACCAGGCAACTGGTAAACCACTACACAGCAGTCAGGGGATCATGGAGCAGGGTGGAAATTTTATCTTGACCTCTCTTTTCTCCTACCCTCTGAGTTTCCTCTGGTGCCTATCATGAAGTGAAGCCTACTGAAAATCAGAAAGGAAAGCACAGGAAAGGTAGCAGAAGCAGGAAGCAGATCTAAAGGGGCAAGTGGTAAATGAGTTGCATGTTGTCTTACAAAGAATTAAAGGACATTAGTGATAAATAGTAACATATTGTGGGTTGACTGAGTTTGGGATCAATGTATATATCATGAAAGATAAGTAGCAAAAGTAGCTGCAATTTTCAATTTTTCCTAAGAGTCCAAGCCAGGACACCCATTTTAAGTAAGAAAGGCACAAGACAAGAAATGGGGTAGGCAAGATTTCATATTCCCATGTCCCTGTCCCTGCTTCAAGTAGAACAGTTGTGATTATACCAATTTATTATATTAAGTAATAGATAAGATTTCATAAGAAATGGACGTACCTGAAGGAAAAGATCCAGGAATAGAAATTGGGTTTCCTAGTTCTATCGGTAACTAACAATGTTGCTTTAGTAAGTACACTTAAGTAATTTGTCCCAGTTTTTTCATCTGTAAAATGGAAGTGAAAAGTATATCCTCGAAGAGTCATAGTGTTTGTGAAGATCAAATGAGAGAATGGATATGGATCCCTTTTGAAAAGTTAAACAAGCTCTGCAAATGTCAGGCCCTATCACTTTTGGATGCTATCTTATAAAGCTTGTCCCTGGGTATGTGCTTGCCAATCATCGCATCCACTCTTTTTGACTATCTTTCCTCTACACATGGAGCATTTCAGTCAACTTCAACTTAAACATCACATACAAAGGAAAGATAAGCAGTAAGAAAATCCAAATGCGTAGGCAACACCACTGCATGTTAAAAAGAAAGAACTAGATTCACGTTGAACTTCATTTTCGTGGTGCATAACTCCCCTTTCCATAGGTCCTATTAACTTCAAAGGGAGCTCTGTGCATGTAAATGATTATATTTATTGGATGCGCCAACTCCTTCTTATCCTCCGGGCACAATTAGAAATATCATAGAAAAATGAATGTCAGAAACTAGGATCCATATTTGATATTCTATGGGAAATTTCCCATAGTTACAGATGTTAAAAATCCTGCCCAATGGTCCCGCTATGAATTTGTAGCATTTCCTCTTCTATATCCTTGGAATATTTTTTCTCTGATTTTAGAATATTCTTATATTAAAGGAAAAATATTCTCTTTAGATCTAGTAAACTAGATCTAGGCTTTTATATAACCTGGTATAATAAAAATCTCGACTATATAACCTCCCTCTTTGAAGGAACTGTTAGTACTTTCCTAAGATTATCCCATTAAAACTTATATAGCAACCCTGTTCCTACTTCAAGTTCACTAAGGGAACTGCGATTAGAAACAGTGTCTAGGAACTAAATTCCTGGATGCTCATTTTATTATTATATCAACTAAACCACACTGTAATTTCAGGATTCATTGAAAATTCAGGCCTTTATCAATATTCTTTCTAGGTAGTTAGATTTCTCCTGTTGAAATGTCCACAATCATTGAAATTATGTGGTAGGTATACAAAACCATGAACTTTTATACCAATGTGTTGTTTACTAACAGTAACAAACCACTTGCTATCCCCACTCTGTGCTATTAGTATGTATAAAGGCCTTGCAAGTGTTAGACATGGCACCTCAGCAATAGTGAGTGTGGGTATGTGTGTGTGTGCATGTGCGGGCGCGGTACGTGTGCTTATGTTTATTAATCCACCTATTAGGGCATGTTAACTCTTTAACTGCATGTTTTTTGAAGTGACAATCTGGGGAAAAAAGGAAGAAAATCTCAAATTAAGTATTTAGAATTATTATGAGAGAGATGTTATAATTAAATGATAAAAAACTTTATGGATACATATCAACACGCAATGGGAGGTTTAAAAGGTACAAACAATTTCACTAATGTTGTGATGAGCAATTTTTTAAAAAAATATTCATTCCAACTAGTATTATAGACAAATAAAACCAAACCAAAGTCATTTGGATCTATTTTGAATTATTCGTAGGAGGTAAATAAGTAAGGCAGGCTAATTTTAGTAAATATTTATAGAGCAAAACAAACCAAAGTATATATAACAATCAAATTTCTAGTGAAAATGTGTGTAAGTAGGTTTATTTTGAAAGGAAAAGTCCTACTCCCAGTGTCATAACCAATTAAATTCTCCAGGTAATGACCCCATTTGCATAGTGAGCGGAACCCACAAGTGGGAATTTTAATGGGTACACCACCTGAGTACAGTAATTGAGAGTGACACAACTTGAACTAGTTTTGTGCTTACCCCACTGAAAATTCTACTCATATTATTTTTAATGTCAAGCTACAAGTCAAATTTCAAGATGATGGATTTGTTCTTTTTTAAGCACCGAGTTTGAATAAAAGAAATGCTTTAATTCTGTTATGCATTGCATATATTTGCTTTAACTAATCTGTAGTTCTGATTCTCACCATTTCTTCATTTTCTTCAGTGATTGGAATTTAATTTTATTCATTAATTTGTGAATAATTAGATAAAAAATAATGTCCTCAGCAGCTAAATTGCTTTTGGATTGCAATTTAATGTACTTTTATCAGAATATGTATTATAGTTAAGCGGGCATAATAGTTTACTAAAATGTAATTGTGTAAATATGTCCAATTATTCTTTCTGATGATCTAACAAAGTCTAATATGTATTCTTTAGTATTTCACTCTTCCTTCACTCCAGCACCAATGAAACAGTTTCTGCAGAGCTGATCAGAGATACCTTGTCATCTGAAGGTGTTACTTTTAAAAGATACTCTCCTTATCTCTCAGGCACTATTCATGTTCTTAAAAGAAAGGTGCATTCTGATTAAGGGATCATACAATGTCCAAATTAAATTATATAATAAAGGCGATTTCAAAACTTTAAGAGTCAGACACACATGATGAACTGTGCTCTCTAGGTTTTGAGGTGACATTTCAAAACTTCTTTTGTTTCACTCTAAGATTGCTTGCAATACTAACTGTTTGTAGGTGTTTGACACCACTCTGCCACATCTGTAATTGGCATAGCATCCAGCAGACAGGCTCTGTACATCTTTACGCTGCAACCTACCAAGTTAAGAAATGTATTGGTTCAATATAAAACAGCAGGCTGTTTTTAGACATAGTTACTAGTGCACAAGCTTTAATATGGCTTGGCTTCATCCTATAATGAGATCTTTTGGTTCCCTGCTCAACAGGCTTTTATTCCTTTGCAAAAGGCTATGAACTATGTCAAGTGGATCAGCTGCTTTTGTACACCCTCTTTCTTGGCTTTGGAATGTAATTCCTTTGCTTCTACCCCTTTATGCATCAGACAGAACTTAAGAACCTTTTCAGTTTTTCAAGCTAGACTTGGAATTTGTTTGAATTTGCTTTGCACCACTTTCTTAATAATTACGTTTTCAACTAAACCTCACAAAAAGACCTGCCTGCAAGTGAGCACCTAATTGCAGAGCTATTCTTTGTCTTTAACACATATATCTATACCCCATGTTGGCAATGTGTCAAAAGACAGTTTCCTAAAGTGATTTCTTCACAGTCACCTCACAACTAAATTAATGACTCTTTTTTAGCAAGCCCTAAGAGGGATGAGGTTAAGGATCTAAGGTATAAATAACGGACAAACAAACAATAGAACCAGAACTACTAGTCACAGTTCAATGTGAAGGCAGGAAAGTACTTATATTGACATCTGGCTGCTTCAGAGCTATACTCATGGCCCTAGTGGAAAATGTCATGCTCTGTCCCAGCTGGATGGAGAATAGGGTGGTGCAGATTTCAGCGTGAATGGAGACTACTTTCCTGGTGGGGCTTAGCCATAGCTTTGCTTATAATACTTTTCACCTCCTGATTGCCTATTATCTTCCTTAAAATCTGATTACATTTTGAATCACAGTCTTTTAAAATAAAGACAGCAGTCAGTGTTCTTTGGGAATTTTGCAATGGAAAAAAAATATATGGTGGATTTAGTTACCAATGACAGTTTTTGCAAACTGCCCCCTTGCCCCCCCCAATCAGAGCTACATCACAAAGCTATGCCCTCTCAAGGACCCAATCCATCTTAAACAAAACTTCTGAATGTAATCTTAACTAAGGGAACAGCAGTAGTTCACTGTTGGAGCTAAACAGTTTCTGGCTGGCAGGTGGTGGTGAGGGGAGTTTGCAAAGTTCTATCTTGGACTGAAATTTCCCGAGGGCTATGCGACTTCCTTGAGGGGCCTACTAGTGAACCAAGCAGAGAAAACACTGTAAATTTATTGCTTATAGGGACACACACAGAGAAGACTGATGAAAGACCTTCCTTGAAATACCCAAGGCTTGATGGAAAACACAAACAGTAATTGTGCAATAAACCCTATGAAAAGATGAACCAGTGTTTAAAACACAATGGTATGTTCTACTGCATTGGTGTAAATGGAAGAGAAAAATGGGCATGACAGTATTTGTTGAAATTTTATTTTGCCTCTCAGATTAGATGCATTATGCAGTAACTATATAGCCTACAAATCACAAGTGAATAGATGGACCATAGAGCTTTTAAATAATTTGAAAAATAACCTTATCAATTAATGAACTATTCATTAGGGAGATGGGTAACCTAAGCATTTAACTTGCATTCAATAAGGCAAAATACAGAGTCACTGGACTTGAATCACAGTTATGTTACGCAGTGACATTTAATAACATCACAATCTAGGGCAGTGATAGTGTTTATATGGATGAAGAATAGAAAGTTATTACATAAGGTTGCCTTGGTTACTCCTTGAACTGCTCAAAAAATACTAACTTCTCAGGTAGGGAAGATGGATAGAGCTGATATGCTATAAGAACACAAAAATAAAATGTATTACTGTGCTAAATAAAAATCCTTCTCCTAAATGACATTATCTTGTCTTAGTTAAATACTAACTCTAAAACATTTTTAAAAATCGTGCCACTAAAAAAATCTTAAATGAAAATACTTTTGATGATATATTTTTATGTGAAATTCATATATCTTACAGGAAATTCCATAAATCTATTGAGTATCTTTAGTTTGCTCTTCAATTTCAGCATCTATTAAAATAATCCTTAATTTTATAGGTTGAGATATAATTCCCAAAGTAAACAAATTATATTAATCTACTAAAAAAGTACAAATTTTGTTTTTGATGTGAATTTTGAAAAGACCACTATTTTGATATTATATATCTAACTATGACTTGCAATATAAAATGTTCTCTATCTTCCATGGCTCATTTATGGGCATGAATCATGTGATTTACATAAGGAGATGAGGCAATCTTCTGAAAGGGATGTAACAAGATGAAATGAAGCTTCAGGCTTAAATTATAATTGAATTCATTCAAATATAAACCAATTAATACATTAATTAGATATGAAAGTATTCTATAGAACAATAAAGAAGTCATTTTTTTAATTTTAAAATATTATATTCAGGATAGTACAGGTCCAGTTTAAAAATATTTAAGATTAAGTTTTCACACTTAAAAAGAAACCAATCTATAACTATAAAATACAGGACTTAGTCATGATAGTCATACAATTAAACAAAACATTTTACATACGGAAATTCTAAAATATATTGAAACTATTTTCACATTTTCCTGCTATTCTTTTTTTATGTTTTTTTTTTTTAAATTTTAATTGTATAAGATAATTTATGGAATGACTGCCTGGCATAGAGAACTGAGGAAAAGTACTACACACATAGTTAGGAAAATAAAATTCTGGTATCCATTCATGTTCTCTGTTACAGAGAAACATTATTTGAAATTTGCTAATATTCCATCACAAATAGTAGCAGGACATAGTTAAGTAGCAGATTCAAAACACTTGTTTGAAAAATTTTGCTGCATAAAAATCAAATGTTCAAACAATTCCAGATCATTAAGAGGCTTTATATATTTACAAACAGATGCTATTCTTACATCCTAATATATAAGCCTAAGTTAATTTGGGTATATGTAAATATTCCGATTCTGATTATATTTGATGTAACAAATGTAAGACACTCTTTAGAAGAGGAAGAAGAAGATAGCTATTTAAGAATTATATTTAAACCCGCCAAATGTAAAGGGTTTGTGTTTGCATGTGTGTGTAAATGGCACTAAAAGGAAGAGTTTGCTAATGCATTTTTAAGCCCTTTAATAATAATATAATTAGAAATTAGGTTTCATCTCAAAGGAAAACCATAGGTGACATTTCTGAGCTTCAGGTTAAAAACTCTCTTATAAAAGTCCTAGGTTTGCTGAAAGCTTCCTAAAAATATGCTCTTGTGGTTACTATCAATGTGATGCTCAGTCAGAAGTACTGACAGTAACTGGTAATCCCAAAGTACAATTTCCAAAACTTCCACAAGGAATTATATTGAATTAAACTCAACTACAAATTTTGGGCAGATCAAGCTCTTAGGAAAGCACATAGTATGAAAATTCACTCTCCTTCTCATCTGAGCTGCTCAGACTCCTCCTGGTCAATAATTGCACAAAGAGTCTTTGTTTCTTTACACATAGAGATCCTTATAACCTTCCATAAATCCTGAAATTTGGTCACAGTAGTGTGTGTTCAGGTTCCTCTCACATTGGAAAGAATGGTTTGGCATCTAAAATGAACTGTGAACTATAAAACTGGTTAAGAAATAAATGGAAAGAGAACCCCCCCCCCCCCCGCCGTCCAAAAGACATAAGGCTCTCAAAAGAAAACCTTTGAATAAATCAATGTCACATGTTGAGATTTTAGTAATAAAAAAATCTTCTAACTTAAATGAAATTAGTTCAAGGGTTTCTTTTTTTGTAAAATATTGCTATTTTAATAAGGTATTGTTTTTATCAGAATTTTATCATAACATTTAAATTATGGGTAAGAATATGCATACTTTTAGTTCATTTAAATTTTATAGTTTAAAAAAAGCTATATCCCTACAACTAAGAAGAAAGTGCTAACGGCATTTTGTTTTCTTTTAACTGATTAAGGACACACACAGTTCAGACTGTCCACCTAAAACTTTGTCCTCAATCAAAATAACTCATTCAAGTAGCAGAAGAATCACTCATCGACAGAGGCGTCCTCAAATTCCACATCCTCTTTAAAGCTTTGCCCAATCTTTGGGTAGTTCTTTTCTGTTTATTCCTATGGTCTTTTGCAGTTTCTCTCTCACAATCCCCTCTTCAGTACACCTTATGGTATGGCTCATTTCTTACAGGTCTTTTTCCTTTGCTATACTGCACACTGCTGTGGACAAGAGTGGAATAACATCCACCCTGTGAGGACCAGAGGACAGCAGCCACAGCCAGTGCTGGACATCTAAGGAACAAGTGGGGCCGGGGAAGCTGAGCATGTAAGTCACCACTAGGTCCCAGGTGTTGTGCAGGTGTCTCTCCCAAAGTTTACTATAAAGTAAAGATACTTACTTTTAACCTCTAAAGGATAAACATTAAAAATAAGTGGTCCAGTTTAAATAGGCACTGTAAAAGCATTATCCCTAGAATGATTGGGAAAAAACAGAAAAATTGACAAAAACAAGGAGACATTTAATGTGTGTGTGTGTGTATACGTGTGTGTGTGTATACGTGTGTGTGTGTGTGTGTGTTTCTCAAACTGTCCCTCTGTTATTGAAACATTAAGAATTTTCAAAAACTAGTTAAAGTAGTTGAAATTTCACATATTAAACCATGTGGATTTGGTGAGAGAAAAGGCCTTTCAGAGAATATGTAAAATATGGAGTTAACAGTGTAAGTACTGAGCTGTTTTATGAGAATCTTACCACGTGTTTTCCTTCCCCCTTCCAAAGAAAAGTTTTAAAAAGTTCTCCAGTTTTAACACAAACAAAAGATAAATATTTATGAAGGAAAACAAATTCCACAGCATTCCATACAGATTTCCAAACAGTCCGAGGATTCACAACAGGCGTCCATGATGCCACAATCCATGTCGCAAGGGCAGTTACAGTCCTCCCCCATTTCATCGCCACAGCAGCAGCAGCAGGCTTCCGAGGTGCAGATGCCACACGAAGCTTGTCCCAGGACAATGTTGCAGAGGGTCAGGAATTCACAGAACAAGCATGCCAGGATACAGTGGACACAGCAATCTTCATTTCCAGTCATGAGGAGACCACATAGTGGAGAAAAAGAAGGAACACAAAATAGACATGTCATGAAGAGACTGAATAAGAATCCATCAAAGTTATTGTCCCAAATGACATGTGGCCCTTGACATTTCTTGTGATCTGGAAGCTCATACAGGGGCTAAAACCTAAATTCCAGATGAGAGGTCTTTAGATGTAGATTCCAATTAGTAAAAAAACAAACAAACAAACAAAAAAAAAAAAAACAGCAATAACATTGTGCGTATGTTTGTGTCACTTGTGTTATTACCATGGCACATAGTGCAGTGGCCCTTGGTCCTACCTACCACTTCTCTATACTTCTTCCCCGCTGTCCACAGAATACTGGACTGAAACAGTGCCAAGACACTAAGTAGAAGTTTCCTTCAACTGCTCCACGTACATGCTTCAAAATTAGAAAAGAAGCTGGACATAGTGGCACATGCCCATAATTCCAGAAATTTGGGAGGCTGAGGCAGGAGGTTTGCAAGTTTGAGACCAGCCTCAGAAACTTAGTAAGGCCCTAAGCAACTTAGCGAGACCCTGTCCCAAAATTTAAAACAAAGCAGGAATGTGGCTCAGTAGGTGGTGAAGCACCCCTGAATTAAATCCCTAGTACCAAAAAAAAAAAAAAAAGGGAAAAATAAATATTGGTTATGTTATTAAATAATAATTTAATCATTAAATCAGAATCCATTAGCCTGGATTAACATGTTTTACTTTCCAACAGACTCAAGACACAACTTCAGATTTTTTTTTTAATTGCAAATGAATTTGAAAAAAAAAAATATTGAGAGTCTCTAGTTGGGTCCAATCATTGTTACTGAAATAGTTCTGCCTATTTCTAACAAAGGGTTGCAAAAGTGTGAATAATGACATAGTAACTTTTCTTTCCCACCTCACTGGGTGGCAAAATACTTTACAAATCTAGTATTTCCTGATGCCTCTCTGAATAACAATGTTTACCAAATTTCATAAACTGATGAAAGTGAGAAATCAAACAAAACTCAATCTAATAAGTTTAATATAGCATATTCTAAAATTTCTTTCTTTAATGTTTTGGAGCAATTGGGAGGAAATTAAGTGAAGGAAATTTCTATTTCTGGAGACCTTTTAACACAGATAATAAAATCAGATTATGCTAAGCGAAACTAGCCAATCCTTAAAAAACAAATGCCAAATGTCTTCTTTGATATAAAGAGAGCAACTAAGAACAGAACAGGGAGGAAGAGCATGAGGAAAATATTAACATTAAACAGAGACGAGTGGGGGGAGAGAAAGGGAGAGAGAAGGGAAAGCATATGGAAATGGTAGGAGACCCTCAATGTAACACAAAATTACATATAAGAGGTTGTGAGGGGAAGCGGGGGGGAAACAAGGGAGAGAACTGAACAACAGCAGATGAGGTAGAGAGGGAAGATGGGAGGGGAGGGGAGGGGAGGGGGGATAGTAGGGGATAGGAAAGGCAGCAGAATACAACAGTCACTAATATGGCATTATGTAAAAATTGTGAATGTGTAACTGATGTGATTCAGCAATTTGTATTTGGGGTAAAAAGGGGAGTTCATAACTCACTTGAATCAAATGTATGAAAGATGATATGTCATGAGCTTTGTAATGTTTTGAACAACCAATAAAAAAATAAAATAAAATTGGGAAGAGAAAAAAAAAAGAACAATGGTTAAGACATTTGTCCAATATCAGAAACATTTGTGAATTTTTTCCAGGATTATTTCCAGTGTATTTTGTGGATATTTCTAAATATGGGGACCCCTTGTCCTACAACAGCAACAAAATACAACCACCTTACCTTCATCACACTCTCACAAGCCCTTTGTGTTTCTGAAACTGGCATTAAAATTGTGTGGCTTCGATGGAGTTTCAGAAAATTGTGTGAAAACCAAAAAATAAAGGAAAGAAACAAAGTCAACAACAAACCACCTTGTTGCGTTAGTAGCTCTGCCATGATTGGGAAACGTGCTGCTCTCTCTGTAATGTCCCCAACTTCTGCAAGGAGATGGTGGAACCCCTTCAGCATCACTGCTATATGTGTTTTAGGTAAGGAAAGCCATTACTGAAGCACCTGTGGCAGTTTCCACCTCCACAGGCCTGCTCCTAGCCATCCCCCATAAGTCCCCAACTCCTTGAACATCCCCAGTTTCTGTGCAGCCTCTACCTCTGTTGGGAATTCAGAGGGTGGAAGGAAAAAAAAAAATGGAAAAGTAGTCCTACTCTATATGTTAAATGGCAAAAAGTGGAGTGTCAAGAGACAACTCTGAAGGGAAACTCCAGAGGTGCTTGTGAAATTAAATGCTAAAAGAACACTCTGATCTTTCCTTTCATTCTTCTTGGTGCCCCGCCCTCTCTCCTATATGATGGTCCATGCAGTTACAAAGATTGCAGAGTCGTGAGGGTCTTTGGGTCTCTCCATCTTTCCCCAGTGCTGATTTCTGTCAGTATCCATTCATTTCAGAAGAACCCTGAAATCCACTAACATGATGCTAAAGTTCATTGATTTGCAAAGTTCTAGGTTTCTAGAAAATGTTGGTGGTTTCCCTCTGACTATATTCTTTCTATAAATATTTCATGTCAATATCTGTTTGCATTTTCTCTGTTCAGTTGAGCTTTTCCAGGATTATATTTTCCATCATGGTTTGTAAAATATTTGAAATGTTATAAAGAACTACTTTATAGATATTAAGAAAATAGTATTTAGCAGCATGCCAGTTCTATTCAATGTGTCTTCATACAAATACTCCTATGAACTGATTCCAACAATATTTCCTTGAGACATTAACTTTCTATTTCACTGTAGTATGCTTAAATTACAAGACTGAGAGAGGGAATCTATAAACATTCACTTGACATTGAAAAACCTTCAACTGCATATTCTTAAAACACTAGTAATAGTTATTGAGCATGTACAGTCCATATAGTAATCATAAAACACACCATACAGAGAACTATATGTAAAGGATCTATCCATTTAAAGGGGAAAGAATGTCCCACTCGACCTTAGAAATAAAGGGTTATAATATACATTTCTACACAATCTATCAAAATAGATAAAGGGTTATAATATACATTTCTATACAATGTATCAAAATAGAAATCAAACTGTATAAATTCCTTGAAGTAGCAAATTTTTCTCAATGTCATGTAGTTGGGATTGACCCATGCTGATTCATGTAGCTGTGGATCATTCATTTTCTAGGTGTACAGAACCTCATTGAATTAATATTCATCAATTGATTTGTCTGTTTTATTATTATAAATATTGTGACTGTTTTCCATGTTCTTGCTGTTTCAAACATTGCTTTTTAAAACAAATTATCTAGTATCCTAGAATACACTTGCTAAATAACTAGCAGAATTATTGGTTCACAGTATTGCATGTTTAATCTTATTGGGTAATACCAAATTTGTTCCCAAAGTGATTGCTCCAGAATTTACTCCCACCAAGTCTCAGATTGCTTATTACTCCACAGTCCTTGAAACCATCACATTTTAATATATGCCAATTTGTTCAGTATGAAATGGCATCTCATGGTAGTTTCACATTGCATTTCTTTGTTTGTTAATGCATTGACTATGCAACATCTTTCCATGTCTGTTTCTGGCCACTCAAGTTTCCTGTTCTTTGAAATGAGTGTTATTTTATTTTGAGACAAGATCTTGCTAAGTTACTGAGTGCCTTGCTAAGTTGTTGAGGCTGATTTTGAACTTGACTACCTCCTGCCTCAGTCTCCAGTGCCCCCTTGGAGTACAGGCATTGCTACCACACCAAGCAGTATTATCTCTTCTTTATCAATGCAGAGACTGACCTACAGAAAAGATGGGAGATTTTATAAAGGTAACAGAAGCAGTAAGCAGCAGAGCCAGGATCAGGAGCCAGGCATTTCATCCTGGGTTGGTGGTCATTTCTAACCTTGGGTAATATTCTTGGAGAAAGATCAGTTATGAATCCCAAACTTCCTACTGATTTTTTTGTTTATCATTTACCTGTTTTTAGCCTTAATTCATGTTCCTTTTCCTTTCTAAAGATTGTTGTGAATTTTAGCTTTAATAAAGAATTGGTAGTATATGTTAACCTTCAACAAGTCAGAGCAAAGTCATTGCTGAGCTGGAGAACTGATAAGCTGCCAGTCACATTCTTGAAATAGATAGAAGAGGTTAGGCAGCCTAGAGAGAGATGATGTCTCAACTAAAAAAAAAAAAAAACAAAAAAAAAAAAACAAATATGGAACTCCAAAACATAGAAATCAAGACCCGTGATTATATGAAAAAGAGCAGTTGCAGGCATTACATAGGAACTCTAGCAGTGAAACATATGATAGGCGAGACCTTGAAAGATTAAGCTCTTTACGTAAATATTAAAATTTACAAAAATTAGATATCATCTCAAAACATAGATCTTTAGTGATTTGCTAGAAAAACACTTTGGGCTACTTGGAAAAGCCAAATCTATTAACAAGCATTTCAAGAAGCCACAAACCAAAATGCATTTTAAAGATTGTAGAGATAATAGACAAGATGTATTGTCACACATTCATTTTTCTCTATAAGTGGAGAATTAAGAAACAAAATATGAATTCCTAAATTCTATTCAATCAATTACACTATATACACAGTCTTGATTTTTATTATTTGTTAAGAAAGCTTTGTTATTGTTGTTGTTGTTGTTGTTTTCTTTTTTCTTTTCAAAGTTGAGTTCCATAAATGTGCTTAGATTGTGACTCAGGGTAATTATCAGGCTAAAATAACTAAGAAATAGCTGTTACAGTTTCTACCCTCACTACAGCCAAGAGGCATCAAGGATCATAAAAAGCATTAAAAAAATGGTGGTTTTATTTGAAGCAAAGAGAAATTATAAAAATGATCATGCTCAGGAAAATTTGAGAAACAAACTTTTAAAAGATGGGTCCACTTGTATCCATTGTGGTTCACTGTAAGAAACAATTCTTTTTCCCTCTATTCTAGAGGCT